CTGTACACTGGGCACGTGGCTCTTGGGGAGAGCCAGCACTGTGGGGGGGCCTGATAATCATTCCTGTCCCCACACTTTCCACAGGATGTGATCATTATGGAAGATACCTCACTGCTGAGGGTGAGCAGGGAATCAAGGGAGGGTCTTCTCCAAGCCTGCAGCTTCTGCCCTGGCCCCTATGCGGCTCGCCTGTGTGCAGCAATGGTTCCCCCACCCGTGACAGCAAAGTGGTGCGGGAAAGTTACCCTTAATGGGTCAAGAAACAAAGCAGCTCAGCCGAGGAACCTGCAGCAGTGGATTGCCCAGTATTTCCAGGCGAGTTTCCTGGAGATCTCTGAGGGAGATTCCCGTGAAGTAAGGGAGTGTATCAACAGCCTGTTCCGCTGCTCAGGCTAGGCATGAGGTGGGAGACAAGCCTGCTTTCTGCAACCCTCCTGCCCCCAACAACTCGCTTCAGCAATTTCCAAAATCAGATCCACTTACCAGGGGCCTGCTCTCCTGTTTGCACTTCGCCAAGATCCAACTGCTGTGACTGGCTGGGCTCCTCCGGGGTAGAAAAGAGCTCCTGACCGCATGCATCTCTGGCCTCTCAGTCATCCTCTGCCTCTGGTTCCCCCTCCCCCTCTTCATCCAAGATTGCCTTCTCCTGGCTCGGTCCACTCTCGACTGGCACGCGAGCCAACGAAGTATCCACAGGGGCCTTCGCAGTGGAGGTGGGGTCGCCACCGAGTACCGTGTCCAGCATTTGTAAAACCGGCAACTCGTGGGCGCAGCACCGGAGCGGTGATTTACCTCCCGCGCCTTGTGGTAGGCGTTCCGCAGCTCCTTCACTTTGACCCTGCACTGCAGTGTGTCCTGGTCATGGCCCCTTTCTGTCATGCATCGTGAAATCTGTCCGTAGGTATCATAATTCCTATGGCTGGAGCGCAGTGGGGACTGGACAGCCTCCTCTCCCCAAATGCCGATGAGGTCCAGCAGCTCGGCATTGCTCCAAGCGGGGGATCGCCTGGTGCATGGAGCAGACATGGCCACTTGGAAAGATGCGCTGAGACCACTGCACGCATCACCTAGCAAACAGGAAGGGGACTTTCAAATTTGCAAAGGAATGTACGGGGTGGGGCTGCTGGTTGGTCACCTGAGGGCAGGGCAGTAGAGTTCAAACCGATGGCCAGAGAGGCGAGAACAGGCATTGTGGGACACGTCCCGGAGGCCAATGGCAGCGCTGTAATCACCACGGTGTCTACACTGGCACCCCAGCGCAGTAGCCCCGGTGCAGAAAGCTCTACGCCTCTCGTCGGGGTGGGTTTTTTAGAGCGCTGCATCTGCGCAGTTTCCGCGTACTAAGTGGCTGGGCAGTGTGTAACCTCGGGAGTTACAGCGCTCAAAGCTGCTTTACTGTGCACAAACTTGCCAGCGTAGCTGGGGCTTTAGACACAACAAATCCTGCCTCTTGGCAGGGGGTTAGACTAGATGATCCTTGCGGTACCTTCTAATGCTATGATTCTGTGATTCTAAGATTTCCAAAGGGGCACGCATGCCCATTCAAACATTTTTAGGGGTCCACAAAGGAAATGAGGTTGAAAACCACTGGTGAATGGGGTGGAGGGGGGTCAAGTGCTCCCCCCAGATTGGCCTGCCGGGGGTGGGGAGGAAGAGGGGTTCTACCTTCTCTCCCTGCGCCCCCCCCCCCCCCGTACCTCTGACTAAATTGGCTGCTCTCACTGGGCCGGGAGGGAGCAGGACAGAGTCTCATTTGCCTGAGAGAGGTTGGCTGGGAGGCAGGGCGGCCTGCTCCCTGCCTGGGCTCAGCGGTCGCGGGAGGGGAGACAAGGCCTCTGTCTCTCTCAGGCAGAGCGGCTCTGTCCCGCTCCCTGCCTGGCTGCCAGGGAGAGTGGGTCGAATTTGCTTGGGCGAGGGAGGAGGCACAGGGAGAGAAGGACAGAACCCCCAGGTCCCTCCCCGCAGGTAACGTGGGGCGGCAGCCCCGGGCTTGGCGGGGTGTGCGTGTGTCACTCCACGTCTGCCTGAGAACCTGAGCGAGCCACAGTCTCCTCTCTCCATCCCCAGCATGTTTCTGGCTCGCTCAGCCCGTCCCTGGCAGCTGGGGCGGCAGCAGGCTGCCCTCTCGCCCGGGCCCTGCTGCAGGGACAGTGGCTGAGTGAGCTGGAGTCCCCTCTCCCCCTGCAGCCGAGCCCAGGCAGGGAGCAGGCCGCTACTGCCTCCCAGCCAGGCTCTCTCAGGCAGATGGAGCTCAGTCCTCCTCCCCGCCCGGCTGCCCCAGAGAGCAGCCAATTTTGCTAAAGGTAGGGGGTAGGCAGGCGCAGGGAGAGAAGGTAGAGCCCCTCTCCGTCCCCGACACCGGCAGGCCAATCTGGGGGACACTTGACCCCCCCCATTTCCTCCCCACGCATCGCCTCAGAAGGGGCCACAGTTGGGATACGGTTGCCAACTTTCTAATCGCACAAAACCGAACACTCCTGCTCCGCCCTTTCCCCAAGGCCCCATCCCCTGCTCGCTCCATCCCCCCTCCGTCGCTCGCTCTCCCACACCCTCACTCACTTTCACTGGGCTGAGGCAGGGGGTTGGGGTGCAGGAGGGGGGTGAGGGCTCCGGCTGGGGGTGTGGGCTCTGGGGTGGGGCCCGGGATGAGGGGTTTGGAGTGCAGGAGGGAGCTCAGGGCTGGGGGTTCAGGGTGCGGAGGCCCAGCGGCACTTACCGCAGCACCGAGGAAGCGGCCACCAGGTCCCTGCAGTCCCTAGGCACATGGGCGGCCAGGGAGACTCCACGCGCTGCCCTCGCGCCCACAGGCTCCGCCTCTGCAGCTCCCATTGGGCACAGTTCCTGGCCAATGGGAGCTGCGGGGCTGGCACTCAGGGCGGGGGCAGCGTGCGGCGCTTCCCTGGCTGCCCACGCGCCTAGGGGCTGCAGGGACCTGGCGGCCACTTCTGGGAGCCACACGGAGCCAGGGAACCTGCCTTAGCCCTGGGCCCCCGCTGTGCCGCTGATCGGACTTTTAACAGCCCAGTCGGTGGTGCTGACAGGAGCCACCAGGGTCCCTTTTCGACTGGGTGTTCGAAAACCAGACGCTTGGCAACCCTAGCTGGGGGTAGGACTGGGGCCAGGTGCGGAGCCATGGTCAGGGGCCAAGACTTGGAGCAGGGCTGGGTGGAGCTCCCTCCCTGCCCCGCTCCCGCGAATGTTCCTCCAGGCCCCCCTGGGGGGGGTACGCCCCACGGTTTGGGGACCTTTGCACTACCCCATTAACCTTAACTCTGAAACTGGCTGCTATGGCAGTATGCACAGGGGGTACGCTACGCGGAGTATGCCTAGAGCCCTGGATCGTCTACCTTGGGCTTGATCCAGCAGTGTTCACAGGCCCCGATCCGGATCAGGGATTGTTGTGCGGAGTGGTGTACAGACAGAGTAACAGAGAAGTCCTGCCCCACAGAGCTCACAGGCTACTTCTTATTGGTTATTTGTTTGTAATAAAATTGTTTCTATTGGGATTACAGACGAAAAATCAGGATGTATTTCTACAGACCATAGGTTTGGCCAACAGTTTACAGATGTGCCGAGGGCACAGAAATCACCCAGACGAGCTCAGAGCTACCAGCTCCCGCAGTATCACTGTGAGGGTCGGAATATTTTAAGTTTCTCATGATCCCCTGATTTCCTCTGTCAAACTCCATGAATTATGCATTTAGTCAAAGTGGCCAGTTCCCTTTACTTTCAGTAGGCCCAAAGCCACAGCCTGCCCTCAGTTAAGATGGCTGCCATTTCCCTGTTCCAATTGCAGGGAACTTCCATCATTTCCAATGGGACTGAAGCCAGGCTGCCCTTAGGGAAGATGGCCATCCTCTGCCCTCCATGGGCAGGAAAATGGGGGGGGGGGGCATTGACAGGAGATTGCTGAAGGCAGAAGGGAATGTGAGGGTGCAGTGGGATATGGGGGTGCAGGGGGAATGTGAGGATGCAGGAGGGACACAAACATACAGGGATGCAGTGGGTTATGAGGGTGCAGGGGGAATGTAAGGGTGCAGGGGGGATATGGGGGTGCAGGGGGAATGTGAGGGTGAAGGGGGATATGGGGGTGTGGTGGGAATGTGAGGGTGCATAGGGAATGTGAGTGCAGAAGGGAATGTGAGGGTGCAGGGGGATATGGAGGTGCAAGGGGGACACAAACATACAGGGGTGCAGGGGGAATGTGAGGGTGCAATGGGATATGGGGGTGCAGTGGGAATGTGAGGGATATAGGGGTGCAGGAGGGACACATACAGGGGTGCAGGGGATATGGGGGTGCAGGGGGAACAAACATACAGGGGTGCAGTGGGATATGAAGGTGCAGAGAGGGCAGCTAAAGGAGACTGGGGTGCAGGAGCAGGGCTAAGGGAGGGGTTGGGTAGGGATGGAGTGACAGCTCACCCCATGATAACAGCGACCCCCCGCAGCTGGCAGGGAGCCCCACGTTGTTTTCTGCGTGCGTTTAAAGCTGAATTTCCTCCTTCGGCGTTGCCAGCTCCAGGGACTTGCCCGGGATATTGGGGGCCCCTCGGACATCTCCAGCTCCTGGAGTCCTGGGATCAGCTGGCCGAGCCCAGGCGGGTGGCACCCCAGGGCCAGTCCCAGGGAGTGGGGAGCGCAGCTGCTCTCTATACCAGGCGTGGCTGGCCGGGGGGTAGGGGGAGCTGGGGCGCAGGACCCCCCCGGCCCAGGCACCGGCCCCCGCCAGTCTCATGGTCCGGGCAGGTTGGAGCCTGCTCCGCACACAGGCCACGTGCGGCCGCCCGGCTCCTCCACTGCAGCGGCGCGGGGGGGAGGGAGGCGGGCCCTGCTGCCCCCCCCGCTCGTGGCGGGGAGCTGGGCCGCCCCCCCGCAGCCGGTGTCCCGGGGGTCAGGGCCGCCTCCTGCAAAGCGCCGCCCGGGGCGCTGCTGGGAAGCGGCGGCTCCCCCCGCACGAGGCGGGAGTGGTACGATCCGCCCGGGCGGGGCCCGCGGCGCGGTGGAGGCGGGGCAGTGGAGCGATGGCTGCGCCCTGAGCCGGCGGGTGAGTGCGGGGTCGGGCCCGGCTGCGCCCTGCGGGGACCTGAGCCTGCCCGGCGCCCCCGTCCCGCGCCGCTGCGGGCCGGCTCCACCCCAGAGGCGGCTGCATGGCGGGGCCGGGAGCGGGGCACGGGGAGGAGCGAGGAGCCCGTCGGTGCATTTAGCTCCGGAGGTGGCCGGTTCGGTCCCCGGACCGTGGGGCAGCCGGGACGGGGGCTGGGCCGCGCTAGTGTCCGGCGTTGGGACCTGTGAGCGGCAGGGCCAGGCTGAGGGTCCCCCCCGTTTGATTGCCAGTGAACGCCAGGAGCTTCCCACGTGTGCGTTTGGCCCGAGCTATCGGTGTCTCGTGTTTGTGTGTTAGCTGGTTCCTGGCCCTGCTGGGAACACGTGGGGGTGTGGGTGGGGCAAAACAGGTTCCTGCCGTGACCCAGCATGTGGCCCCACCCCAGTGTCCCATCCCCCCGGGGATGGGATGCGATGCTGGGCAGGAGCTCCCCAACTCCTGCAAGGGGCAGTAAGGGCTGGGCTACAGCTGTAAGCCCTTGGGCACTGCACCTCCTTCCCGCAGCCCTTCCCCACAGAGGAGTTGTCCCCTTCCTGGGGTGGGAAAAGCGAGGAGAGACGGCGCGGACTGTTTGCTAGTGAACATTGGGGGGCTTTTGTTGGGCTCCTGCTGCTAACCGAATCCCAAAGCAGGCCGCTGTGACAGCCCAGCCTGTATCTTGGCTTACCCACCATCTGGGAATTGAGCCAGTGACCCCCGGAGTAAAGGCATCAGCTCCCTAGCTGGGCTACAAGGGGTTCAGCTCTTTGTCCTGGGGAGGGTGCTAATAAGGCGGGTGCGAGGCTGAGCGGTTGTAAAGCTCTTTGAGATGCTTGGCTGAAAGGTGCCGTAGGGGGCAAGGCGGCATTCACAGATACAGAGAGCATCTTTCCTCTCCAGGGACTTCCCACACGGGCCCTCGGACTGTTTGGTCCAGGCCAGCACTAATAGCTACATGTGCGCTTCCCTTTTCAGTCGTGTTTAACACACTCACTAGCAGGATTGTAAATTCGAGTGTGGCCACTCAGGGCCAGGGTCTCTAAAGGGCTCCACATGCTGGGGGCCTAAATGGGAGCTGAAAATCAGGCTCCAGAGATGGACAGGGAGCGCTAGAATAACTGGCCCTGACTTCTTTGGAAATTCTGGCCCCCTGTCGCCAGCAGAGGCCAGGTTTTTAAAAATGCATCGTTGGTAGGGAAGACGAGGCCCAAAAGTCCGTGTAATCCTGAGCCTTTGTGGTTGTGGCTGGAGCAGTGCTGAGCCATGCCTGGTGATCTGCCTGGATATGAAAAAAATCTCTCTCACCCGAGCTGTGTAATAAGTTCCCCTTCTGATTTCCCTGCAGGCCTCCCCATGAACCAAACTGTGAATCTCACATGTGGAGATGAAGACCACAGCTACCTTGTATTTATACTTGCTGCAGGTCTACACCTTTGCTCTCTACCTTAGTTCCCAGACTGGCACCTGCAGTCAGGTGTCTCCAAACGGCCTACGTCTGCTCTTGAATTTGTGGTTGGGCTTTAACACATGTTAACTAACGTGATTGTAAATTGCAGAGGATGCTACAGAAAGGGCCCCGGACACAAACTAGGGTTAAACATGACTAGCAACAAGCGGTTGTGTCCTGTCCACACCAGAATTTTCAATCCTGTTAGTGAATGTGTTAAAACGTGACTGTGGAGTTTGATCTACCCCGGAGTATCGGAGACCTGACCTCTCTTTCTCATGCCCAGGTTCTTGCGGTGCCTGGTTTGTGGGAGCTGCTGGCTGTAGAGTAAGAGAAGCTGCCTCTAGCTGGAGACCCCCGGCTCTCTCCACCCAGGCGCCATGGTGACTGAGGAGGAAGTGGAGGCCATCGGCCAGACACTGGTGGACACAATGCAGCCCCTGAAGGCTCGTTTCCGAGCCCTCTTCACCCTGCGCAACGTGGGCGGCCATGCCGCCATCGACTGGATCAGCCGGGCGTTCGGGGATGAGTCTGCCCTTCTGAAACACGAGCTGGCGTACTGCCTGGGGCAGATGCAGGATGAGCGTGCCATCCCCTGCCTGGTCCGGGTACTGCAGGACACCAGCCAGGAGCCCATGGTGCGCCATGAAGCAGGTACGAGAGCTCAGTGCTTGAGCGGGGGTCTGTCCTGGTCCCACTGGCACAGAGGCCCTTGCCAGGCCAGTCCAGCCCGAGCCAGGGGCTGACGTAGCCGGGCAGGATGGATGGATGGAATTGTGGCTTGTTCCTGGGGGGCAGGAACATGTGCCAACCTTTTCCTGGTGTGTCTTATTTCCAGCTCTGTGCTGGCTGGCACCTCAGGGGGCAGAGCCAGTGCTCCGCTCCACATTGCTGGCTCCCCCCGAGCAGTGGCTGGCGATGTGAGGAGCAAGGTGGCTCCTAACTCCCCTCTACAGCCCCCCGACGGAGCTCCCGGGCTGCTGGAGCAGACCCCACGTGGTGCTGCGTGTACAGTGAATCCAAGCTCACTGGGGTGTGATGTTGCGGACATCTCTCAATGCCAGGCCGAAGCTGCTTCCCGTCCCCACAAAATGCCGGCTCGTCCCTGCCCTCTGCCCCAGTGCCACTTGCTGCGTTTCCCTCCCGCTTTCCGTAGCTCGGCTGTTGCAGCCAGGCGTGTGGCAGGGCTGTGTCCCCCTGGCCCCAGGGGAGGGGCAAGGCCTCATTAAAGGTGACAGCAGCAGTATGGGAGCTTCCAGCTTGTTCACCGGCACCGGTGCCTTCGGTCTGTGTTCCAGGGGAAGCTTTGGGAGCGATTGGGAACCCCCAGGTGCTGGATGTTCTGAGACGTTATTCGGAAGACCCGGTGATCGAGGTAAAGCTTTCCCTGCGTTCCCCTGCCAAGGGCAGCCATCAGCACTGATCATACCGCCCGGCAGCCTGGGCCAGTGGGCAGAGCTCCACACTGGGACTGCAGAGATCTGGGCTTTATTCCCAGCCCTGCCACTCACCTGCTGAGCGACTTGGGTAAATCGTTTCCCTGCTCCGTGCCTCAGTTTCCCCTCCCATGTTGGTCTGTTGAGACGAGACTCTCTTCCTATTTGTCTGGTCAGCGCCTGGCCCAGCGGGAGCCTGATCTCCGCTGGGACCTGCAGGTTCTGCTGTAACCCTGGCACCGATGCTGGGGTCCCCAGGTGGCAGTGAGTAGGGCAGTCGTTGGGGGTTTATGCTGATAGGCGGACACACCTCTTGTCTGTGAGTTTTTTCTCATGCAGATAACAGCCCTAGTCCTGCCGGCAGTGCCACTTTCCCCCATGCTGCCCCCTGTCTGGGGGAGTCAGTCTGTGCAGCCCCATTTGATACCTGCTGCCAGGAACTGAACTGGTCCCAGTAAGGGGGTTATTTATACCCCAGAAGGCCCAGTCACCCTGCACAGAAAGTTTCCTGCCCTTGTAAACCTCACTGGACAGCCGGACCCCGAGAAGTGGAATGTCAGAGCTGCATGTCTGACTATTGGCCGGTCCATCGCTCCTTTCGGGTGAGGCGTGACAGAGCTGGGTACGAGCCCTGTTGTGCCAATGGGGAAACTGAGTCGCAGAGGTGGACGTGACTTGGTGGTGTCGCAGTGCGTCGGTGGCAGAGCTGGGACTGGAGCCAGGAGCTGTGACTCCCAGTCCCATGTTCTGGCCACTAGACGCTGCTGCCTGGCTGGTGGGACTCTGCTCTCCCCAAGGGATCCCAGTGAAGGTGTCTCTCTGTCCCGTTCTGCTGCAGGTAGCCGAGACCTGCCAGCTGGCAGTCAAGAGGCTCGAATGGCTGCAGAAGAACAAGGAAGCACCTGGCGCCGGCCCCTACCTGTCTGTGGACCCGGCTCCCCCTGACGAGGAGAAGGACGTCGCCAAGCTGCGGGAGACCCTGCTGGATGAGTCGCGCCCGCTGTTCGATCGGTACCGCGCCATGTTCGCCCTGAGGAACGTGGGGGGCGAGGCCGCGGCGCTGGCGCTGGCTGACGGTGAGAGAGCCCTGGATGGCCGATGCTGTGGCTTCTCCTCGCCCTCTCCCCTGGCCCAAGCTGAGTCCAGAGATCCCCGGTGGGGGGCCCCACTGCTGTGCTGTCCCTGGGACCCATCCCTGTCTGAGCAGCTGGGCTTCCCCGCTGGGTTGTATCCCTGCTATTCCCAGCACCCTCCACCAGGGGTCACCCTAGGGCGTGCCTCACCTACCTGGTCACAGGGCATGGTCTCAGCAGCACCCCTCCCCCCAGCCTGGGCCAGGGATGGGACGAGCAAATGTGGCCCCCTGTGTCCCCCCCATGTTTTGTAATCCACTTACCCCCGGGACGTGGCTCCACCGGAGCCTTTGCCCCTTGCATGCCCCGTCCCATGCCTGCTGGGTGCGAGAGCCCACAGCATGTGTCCCCCCCGCCCCCTCCAGGAACCCTCTGGGGCGTCATGCCCGAGTTCAGGATCCTCCATGGCAACAGGCTGGCCCTGTGCCGCTGGAATCCAGAGCCGCAGAGCGGGGGGCGGGCAGACAGCAGAGCCTCTGCCCTACTGCCCTCGGCAGGGCCAAGCCCCCACCCCTCCCAGGAATCGCCTGGAATCTCAGCTCCAAGATTCCAAACTGTGGAATCTCGGCTCCCTGAAAGGGGACCAGCCGCTCGTGCTCTGCCCCCTCTGATGGGCATGAGAATTCCCTGGGGCAGGCCAGAGCAGGGGCTCCCAGTGTGTGTGTGGGGACCCCGTGCCCTTCCCGTGTTGAGGCGGTCCTTACTGAGAACCACTGTTCTAGGGGGAGGGTCCCCCCAGCTGAGCATGGAGCCACCTGGCCCAGACCCTGTCCCGGAGTGGGAGGGGGGAGGTGCAATTGGAGACGTTCAGAGCGTTTCCATCTGCGCTCTCTGGGCATCCTGCTGCCCCCACCAGAGGGGGCCGGTCACCCCAGTCCGGCTGCGGCGAGCAACGGCTCCAGTGCTGTGGGTGGTTCTGCAGATCCAGCCCCTTGGGAGGGACCGACCCGTGGAGCCTGAGAACCCCATGGGGCCAGGCCGGTTCTGGCCCCCAGGCAGGTCTGACCCAGTTAGGGATGAGCAGAACTGTGTGGGCCCTTCTGGAGCGAAATCCAGCCCCACTGCAAAGTCCGTCAGGGCTCTCAGTCACTTTCCCTGCCCCCATAGGGTCCTCTGCCTCCCTGCTGGATGGGTGCTGCTCAGTGCAGAGGGCCCAGGCCTGTGTCGGGCAGACAGCTACGGAGCAGGGCAAGCGCCTCCTCCCACCCCCAGCCGTGGTGCCTCAGCCCTGCCCAGAGGAACCCTTACAGGGCCGCCGAGTCTCCGTGGCCGACAGGGCGTCTGATGGGTCGGGTGCAGGTGGACCCTGGCTGACCCCACTCATTTCCCCCAGGCTGCAGCCGAGGGGCCAGGCTGCACCTGCTGCTATTAAACCCCCGAGCGTCTGAGCCCCCAGCAACTCGCTCCCAGACGGCCCAAGAGCAGTCTCAGCAGAGCAGTGGGGGTCCCTCCCTTCAGATCTGTGGGGAGGGTGGGGTCCAACATCCCAGAGTGCTTTGGGTCACCTCCTTGCTCTGCCTGCTCCAATCCTTCTCTCCCCCTGCTCCCCCCAGGCCTGGTGTGCGGCAGCGCCCTCTTCCGCCATGAGATTGGCTTCGTCCTAGGCCAGATGCAGCATGAGGCCTGCGTGCCCCAGCTGACGGCGGCACTGGAGAGCGTGGCGGAGAACCCCATGGTGCGGCACGAGTGTGCGGAGGCGCTGGGCTCCATCGCCAAGGCGTCGTGCCTGGAGACGCTGCGGGCGTTCGCCCAGGATGGGGAGCGGGTGGTGAGGGAGAGCTGCGAGGTGGCCCTGGACATGTACGACTACGCCAACGGCCCCGAATTCCAGTATGCCGACGGGCTGAGCAAGCTGCAGGCCTCAGGCTGAGCAGGGAGCCTGCCCCGGCCTCTGCGGGGAGCTGGGTGGCTGCTGGAGGCAGCCCCAAGGTAGGGGAGCCAGGGCCGGATTCACCCCTGCCCTGCACAACTGCTTGCACCAGGGCAGAGTGGGTGGGAAGCCGGATCTGCATAGTCCTGTGTGCTCTGTGTCCCGTGGGGGTGGCAGCACGCCTCTAGCGCTAGCTTGTTTCTTTGAGTCCCCGGGATGGGCCAGCACCCTAGATCCAGCCCCTGTGAGGTTGGGGGTCAGGCTCCGTGCTGGGGTCCCAGGGCAGAGGTTTCAAACAGCTGCTCTGCTGACTGGCTGAACTGCTGGATCCTGACCCAGCAGCTCTCTGGGGGGGAGCCTGCCGGGGATCCAGGGTCTGAGCCCGTCGGGAGAGCAGGGCTCGTCTCTCAAGTCACGGGCTGTGGGTGGACACAAGGTTCTGTCACTTAGCTGCTCGGACTGTGCCCACAGGGGCTCCCTCGTCCACGTCTGTGCTCCAGCTTCACTGCTGCTGCGGGGCCTAATGCGTTGGGCAAAGCCCTGCGCTGTGCCGTGGGCAGGCGTTTCAGGAGGCGACGCGCTGCTCAACGCGGCCGGGTGGTGCCTCGTGGCGGGGGCTGCAGCAGCCCAGCGGAGCCTGCGCCTCGCACCAGGAGCAAACACCAGCCAAAGCCTCTGCCCGTTCGCCCACAGCACCGTTGGCAGAGCCTCTGTCCCAGGGGTGCGGCTCAGACAGCTGGAGAGCACCTGGGTTTTCAACCTGTCCCCGGGTCTTTGCAGGCCTGGCTTTGTACTCCCAGTGACGCGTGCTGTCCGGGGGTGGCTGCTGTGCAGTGAGGCTGGGTGCCCGCTCTGAAAATCTACCCTTCGATTTCCCTCTTGCCCGGGCGATGGCAGAGGGGGAAGCCACATTGCCCCAGAGCTCCCCTCCGGTGCCAGCCAGGGAGCAGACCTCCCAGGGCAACACAAACCCTGGCCACAGCTGCCTTCTCTAAGCGCTGGCCAGTGGGCAGAGGAGTGGGGGGGGCTCTGGTGGCACTGTTCTGGGGTCTCCCTCCCTGCGGGTCACAGCCGGCCTGTAGCACTGTGGGCACGTCGGAGGGCAGGGGTGTAGGGGCTGGAGGCGGGAGCTTTGTAGCCGTGTGCCAGCGAGTTCCCAACAGGAATGCGATCCAATGGGGCTGGAGTAGGGGGAGCTCTCACAGCGGGCAGGGCGCAATGCCAAAGGAAGAGCTGCACTAGTCTCTCCGCGCGGGTGGGGCCGTCTTGCAGCAGACGGAGCCTGTGGGGGCCTGTCGGGTACAGCCGTTCACTTGTACTGGGGCTGGGAAGGGCTCGCGGGGAATAAATGGAATGGTGGAACGTCTGGCCTCGACCTACCTCTTTTCAGCACTGGAGCGGGGGTGCCTCTGCCTCCGCTGGGCCTGAGCCCCCGGCCAGCAGCCCTGCAGCCAGGGTTCCCGCTGCCTCACCCGCTGGGCCTTAGCCTTCGGCCAGCAGCCCCGCAGCCGGGGTTCCCGCTGCCTCACCCGCTGGGCCTTAGCCCCCGGCCAGCAGC